GAGGCACAATGTCCTGGTAGAGGATATCGTCTTAGGGGTTAAGGTTTCCTTAAGTATCACAAAGTACAAACCTTTAGATCAGATAAAATGGAGAAATAAGCATGAAGTTGAAGAATTAAACTCAAAGAAACTTACTTGGATCTGAATGGTTGAGCTCCTAAGCCCAGACTCAAAGGAAGATTGAAATTTAGAGAAGGATTTCTCAGAAGAGAGAGAGTGAGAGATCAGAGAGAACAGAGAAAAGGTCAAAATTTTGGATTGTAATATAAGTTTTCTAAGTTGAAAGCCTTTAAATACCTTTTAACTCGCGATATTTTTGCTATAGCGAGAGATTCTCGCTACAGCAAAAAAATCAGACAAAATTTTTTTTTGCTATTTGTCATTCTAGCTACAGTGAGAGCTTCTTACTGCAACGAGAAAGCATCAAAATACTTGATTCTGGATGCATCTTTCTTGCTACAGCAAGAGATATCTCGCTATAACGAGATACCCTGCACCCAAAACTCATATTTTTATATACAAGGACCACAAAATTAATTGTGTTACATTGACATTTGCAAAATATGACATCAAAATACATTAGGACTTATTTATATCATTTACAAAATACAAAATATGATAAGTCCTAATAAGCAGTCTATCTACCAGAGGACCGAAGACGATTCTAGTCATCATCCCTAAACCATCCATCAATCTCTGCTATCTCCTCTGAGGATAACTCTTTGTCTTAATCAAGGTCACCCTCGTCAGCTACCAGCTTAGGGCCCATGACTCTCTCGGCAATGCAACGACTAGGTCTCCCATGCTGGTCATGGTCCAAAAAGATGGGTGGATTCTACCACTGTCCGGATAATCTAAAGGTACATCTTTTCCTATAGTCATTTCTAAAGTAAATATAATACCTGACTCATTATTACTACGTACAATAAAACTACAATGGCATAACCGCTACCAATCCCTAGTTATTGGGTCTACTCTACTAGTAATGAGTAACTCAGATAGCTAACAAGTCCTTGTGGGTCTGTCATCTATATTCTCTGAAAGGTTATGTAAAGATGAGTCTCGATTCTCATACCAAGCATACATGCACAATTAAGTCAACAATACAAATGAAGGCAACAAACCATCATGCCACAAGATCATATTGATATAAAGCAACAATCATTAATTACTTAGCTTATTACATTTCCTCTTTATTAACACTTAGAATTCTCATTTCACACTTTCACTGCTTTGGGATCCCTTGAGGTCTTCCTTAGCATGGATAGTTGCTGGATAGCCACAGTTACATAGATACAACGTGTGCTGAGCCAACCCTTTTAGCAAAAGCGTGGTTAGGAGTTTAAGTCAGAAAACAAGTGTGAAGCCTATGGTGCTCTTACTCTCATTTGTTATGTGTAATTCAAGAAGAGCATCCATCACCCTCATTTCTCAAGATTTCTCAATCGTCTTCATCTTCCACGCCTCTAGTGTACTTCTAAACTTTCCATACTTATCCTTATCATGTTCTTTCCTCATTTCATTTCTCTTTTCATATTTCCTATCTCACTTCTATATTTCTCATTGTGGATTTACATTTCTCATTAGTCATTATGGCCCAAACTAATTATTTATTATATCCTAAACTCAATATTTGTATACTATCATATTATTCATCGCTTCATTTCTATATTTTATTCAAGTTCATTACTACATCATATATCAATCAATCAATCATTGCCGAGAGTTGGTCACCCCCGAACTTAGTCTACAATATACATGCATATACACTCAAAACAAATATCATGCACATAATCAAACACCACAAAAACATGCTTCAATCAAATATATATTCACAATCATGTATTACATCACAACATTTTCATGAACACAAATATATTACGTTCTTAGTAACAAGATAGAGCTCTCCTTACTTTGAAGTGGAAGTTTAGTGAAGGATTTTTGAGAGATCTTGCTCAAAAGGCTAGGTTCTTCCTAAATATCATAAGAGATCCTATTTAGAGGAGGAAAAACAAGAAAAGAATCAAAGGAATGAAGAACCAAGCTTCAAGATCGTACCAAATAACAAGGAGAGTGAACTCACAAGCTTGGATCAAAGAAAGATTGGAGCTTTTCAAGGATTTTCTGAAAAAAGGAGGAGAGAGGTAAGAGGGAATAAAGAGGGGTCGTAATTTGAATTATAATCCAAGTTTCTCAACTTGAAAACTTTTAAATACCCCCTCAACTCGCGTCATTCTCACTAAAGCAGGCTAATTCTCGCTTCAGCAAATCTTTCTCTCGCTACAGAGAAAAAATTAGACATATTTTTTTCCTTGCTGTCTGTCATTTTAGCTACAACGAGAGAGCGTTAGAGAGCTTGATTCTGAATGCTCATTTCTTACTACAGCGAGACACATCTCGCTGCAGCAAGAAATCCTACAATTTACACACCTAAAACTCTCTTAATTTCAAACAACATACATTGACAATTCATACTAAATATAAAATTAATAAATAACAACATAGGGGTGTTACATAAATCAACAAGTTATCGTTGTGTGCATGCATGTGCTATAATATAGGCCCATAAACAAATAATAACAAAATTTATTCATGAATACTATAGCAAGGGGAAATACTTACAAACATGCACATATGATCAAGCTTATTCCAAGTGTCAAGTATCAAAAAAACTAAAATAGACCCTATTAATCCACTAACAGTAAGAAAAATATTAGTATGACAAAAAAAAATTAAGAAAGAGAGCACTAGATAAATCAAAGAAAAGGTCAAACATCAACTAAAAAAATACTTATTTACTGTGAAAGATACTTTCAAACAAATCATAATAAAGAAACTTAGAAGAATTAAATACATCTAAACTCTAAATTTAATAAGAATTATCATTTTTTTATTCCATACTATAATACTCCAAAATAACATTAATTATTATAAAAGACAATTAACATATGGCATACTATATATTTTCTAATTCAGTAAATTTATTTTTTAGATATCAACAATAATAGTGCAAATATAAACACCGTTAGACAATAACAAATTAACAACCTCGAGCTCCTCAAATCATCTTCCAATTTTGTCTTACGAACATGGTATTGGATTCTATGTTTGCTTGATCTTAAGAGCTTGATTCTTGAAATTGTTTGTATGAGGTAGTGACTCTCAACTAGTTGAAATACACCAAAACCAAAATATTCCTTCCACGTTCAAATAACTTAATATTGATATCTTAAATTCCTACTTCTACTTTTATTCTAGTATCTCGATGGAGATGTCCAACAAAATAGGCTTTTTTATTTAAATATTATAAATTTAAAAATAAATTCTTAATTTATTATTATTTTCAAACTATTTCCTATTTAAGATGAGTCAGTCTACGTGCTAATAGTTTCATCAAAATGATTAACGGAAATGTTAAATTTTTACTTTTTAAAAAGCAATTTTCATCATTAGAAGCGCGAAATAATCAAATCGTGATACATGTTAGTATCAGTATAATTTTGCAATGATTAGCGAATATAATTTCGCAATGATTAGCAAAATTAAAGGTCAGTTTCGTCGTAGAAAGTGCAAAATTATCATATGGTGACACATGTCACGATCTAAGTAAACTTCACTATGAAAAATTGCACAACTTGCAGGAATCTAACACATGGCATGATTTTGGCCCATTACACGAATAATGGCAAAACTTTTACTTTATCGTGAAGATGATGTCATCTATACAAAAAAAAATAAACATATAAATACAAATATCAGTTTCATTAATAATAGTTTATATTTTTTTAACATAATTAATAATACATATATTAACTTCATTATAATAGTTAAAAAAAATCTACAGACAAATTATTATCACATCATAATGACATTAATTTAAATTTATAATTATATTATTTATGCAAATATCAAGTATAAAAATACTTGTGTTATAATTCTATAAAAATTATTAGTATTTCTTAAATAAAAATATCAAAGCACTTACTTAATTACAACACAAATTTGAACTTATTTAAATATAAAAACATAATTAAACAAAATTCAATTTATATTTACATATAAATCATAACCATATTTAAAAAAAAATTCAAAGTACTAACATAATTAAATATAATTTTTTTAAATTTTCTATAAAATTATAATCACATCATAGTTAAAAAAATTTTAACAAAATTAACTAACATTATACCTGAAAATATTTTTTGCGCAATGGACCAAAATCATGTCACATGTCAGATCTGAGCAAGTTATACAATTTTTATGGTGAAACTTACTTAAATTGTGACACATGTCACCACTTGAAAGTTTCGTGCTATCCATAGTGAAACTGACTTTCAATTTCGTCAATCATACTGCGAAACTATATTGATATTGACACGTCACAATCAAATTATTTTGTGCATTTGGTAGCAAAATTTGTTTTTAAAAAAAATTAACATTTTCCTTGACCATTTTAACAAAATTATTGTCACATGAACCGAGATAGGAAAATAGTTTAAAAAAACAATAAATTAAGAATTTATTTTTAAATTTGCAATATTTAAATAAAAAAGTCAAACTCACAAGTGTTGAATAATTAAAAAGGTTAATTTTTTCTTTGATCATAAAAATGTAAACTCTTACAAAATCGAGAGGAGATAAAATGTAAGATTATTTAAACTAGGAGTCATTAAGTAAACGAGTTTTATTGTACTTTACCCAAAAAGAGAAACAAATATTAAAAAATACAAAAAAAAGACAAGATTCTATCAAGAATGCCTCATTTGACATTTAGGTCGAATCAAGAAATTAAAAAACATTATGCCATTCACACACTCTATCCAACTCATTAATCTCATGAATGCACTCAAATTTTAGTCCTCGAGAATCTACGTGTAACGTATGATAGTAATGAAAAGTTAATTGTGCGTGTACCATAAGATATCAATGAAGGGTTACTCAAAATTCCAAGTCCACACTACTGCAAGCAACGAAATGCCAGGTCTGGGTCACCAAAATAAGTAACAAACGGTTAACTATTATCGAGAATGAAATCATTAATAGAAACAAAAATGAAATGGTGTTAAGTATCACCATTTTGTTCATCTCTTGACAACATATATAGAAACACTAAATGAATCGAATGAATCTTCCAGAGCCGTAAATCAGATATATTGTGAATTAATTACATCTGAAAAATAATGAAGCTATAATCTTCCATTATTCCTGAAACGAAGACCCATATGCAATCTCAATTAGCCTCAACGTAATCTCTGATCACGATGAATGACAGTATTTCACCACAAAATACTTGTGATAAAACTCGTCTCACAAGATTTCTGATCAAGTTGTACGAGTGCTGATCCTTGTGATGTTACGCAGTAGATGATACAGCTTCTATGGCGCTGCCTAGGGGCCATGCTGCCTCAACAAGGGCATCATCGTATTTAAGTTTCTTCACCAATGTAATCTCTTGCCATGGATATATGCCTGCCAACAAAACCAGACTTAGTAGAAACGTCATTATTATGCACCACTATTCCAAAACATCGAAATAAAACCTTACCAAATCCTTCAACAAGCAGCGTATACTGATATACAAGATCCATGCAAATATACGGAAGGTTCCCATCATCAACATGTCGATAAGTGGACTTGGCATTCTCAAGTTTTGTCTGACAAGCTTGCTTAGCTGCATCCTCAAAATCCGCAGGACGAACTATTGCAACTGGTGAGTTTGGATCAGCAAAACCAGCCTATGGAAATGAATAAATAATGGGATTAGAATGGAAATGCAGTGGCATTAGAAGCAATGGCTATCAGCACCTGATTCCAAGATTGAGTAAATTAAATAATAAATACCTCAGCAGCCCGGTCAAAGAAAAAGGAAGCAACAAAAAGGTTTTTCTGTCCATCCCCGCCTCCACCGTTCCATATCCCACCAAAAGTGCACTTCATATGTGTACATGTTGTTGACTCATTGAGAGCCTTTAAAGCTACACTTTTGCATTCATTTAAGCTTGACCCAGAAGGGGAGGATGAAGCCTTAAATGACTTTCCTCCATATTTGTAAGATCCTATGAAAGTTAAATGTTATCCCAATTACAAGGCAGGAGAAAAACTATATTTTAAAAAAAAAAAAAAAAAAACTTCAGAACTCTTTTTCGATCTATGAAATGTAAACTTAAAGAGCTGGAATCTAAATTAGCATCAAAATAGAACCAGTCATATAGAAAGATGTTATGTTTACCATCATAGCCAGATAAGATACAAGGGTTTTCAGCATCATCGGAAACCTTTAAAATCTCAGCACGAGCAGCTAGTAAACCATAGTGCAAGTAACTGAAAAAAAGATGTAAGAATCTGTTAGAAATTGAAGTGATATTAGAATATCTATCTATGTGAACACTGAATAGTAATTATGAAAAAGACTACAAGTGGAAGTACTCAGGTCCATGAATTAGTTCTCCTAGTGCAGCTAAAAAGATGAAATATCATACTGGCATAGTGGCATATCAAGGATAAGTAGAAAACCTGTGAACATAGAGGTAGTATTTCCTTCCCCTAAGGAACATCTCCTTGACATATGGGTCCTCTCCATCTTGTACTTTTGGAGCCATGGCAGCATCTGTTTCTGAGATGGCATATGCCATTTGAACAGATCCACCTCCAAGATCAACTACCCCCACAGTCTTCGAAAAATCTTTTCCCAAGTTTCCCAATAGATAGTTAATAGTAACCTAAAACAATAAACAAGGTATGACAAAATACTGCATCAGTTCTTTAGAGGAGAAAATACACAAAGCTCTTAATTCCCTTACAGCTTGTAGTTCATATTGACTTTTCTATTTTATAAAACTTTGGGACCAAACAAATGTTTTCTTGCACTATGAATGATCTCTCTGACCATATAGTAAATTAACTTTGAAGAAAGTGTCAAATCTCTACCTTCCAAGTTTTCCGAAGACAAACAATCTAAAGATTTTAGAGTTCTAATTTTATGCATCTACCCATTGCTCGTACCCTCTTTCAAATAGAAATTACACAACTTCTTGTGTTGAAGAAAACTGTAGATGAATGCAAGGAAACCAAGAGCTTTTCACTGTTAGGTTAATTCCACCAAAAATTATCCAGTGGAACAATTCTTCAAATATTTTATATGTCAGAATGAACCACAATTTGAACTATTAGCTTTTTTCACTTTAGGGTAGATGGTAGAATTATAAACAAATCTTTGGAATTTAACAATCACAAAAAAGAATCAAGTCCAATGTCATGTGTTGTTCTTCAGAATTCAGACCGTCCATAGTTTAGAACTTTGATAATAATGGTCATCCCTAATTTAGAACTTCTATAGATCTGACAATATCATTCATCTCCATCCCCATTTACTACTGTGTATTGCTATTTTAAAACCACTACAAGAAAGAAACAGTGTGATGCCACTAACCATCCTGCCTAGAATACTGCTGGTAAAAAACTGTCCCATTGGGATTTTAGAAGTGAAATTAGAAAGAAAAATGAATATATATGAACATAATATAGATATGGAAATATAGACTTTAGACAAACCCTTGCTCTTTTAATCTAGCTAATTTGGATAAACTTCTCAACAAACACTTAAGGTAGAAGAAAATTAAATGAATTAAGAAGTAAAATGAATAAAACTTTTTGTAAAAGTTAAAATCAACTTATGCACCTTAACTTATGGAGAAGTTAATTGAGGAAGGTTTTAAAAAGGTTGAGATGCATAAGTTAATTTTAATTTATGAGAAAAGTTTGATTTATTTTACTTTCTTGATTCAATTTATTTTGTTCTCTTAGATGAGCTTTATCCAAACTGGCCGAAAATATAAAAGAAAAACCTTATATCAGGTGAAAGTTTATGTGGTTATGATCCAGTATTAATCAAATGTAAGATACAAACAACTAAGACTATTCATAAGACAAGAATAAGGAGCCAACTCTGACAAGATTTATACCCAACAAAATAGGAAGTGTAAATTCAAAAGAAAGTCCAACTGTAGTGATCTAACAGGAGTTTCAAATCTAAGTGTGATGAAACTTTCTCTGAGAGGCAAAGAACCAGATTTAATAACAAATTTTATAATTGATTTTTAGAAGATATTCCAGGAGAGCTTGCAATATGTACAACCCAATGCACCCTATAACTGGTTCTTCAACCAACTAACAAAAACCAGATTCCCATTATCATGAAGCAGGATTTTAATAATTCAAAATTCACTAAATTTCCACAAAAATTGTAAGCAAGCATTCCTCTGTAGCTGTATTTTCCAATAACTTCCCCAAGGCAATAAATCACAAAACCAATCATAGTACACATAGATCTTTGACATAAAATTAACACTGTCAAGACAATTTTCCTGCCTGATTTATGAAATCCACAGTTTCAGAAATACAGTACATAAAATTTGGCAGGTCTGTGTTTAAAATTATGGAAATAGCTACTATCAATCTTATCGATTAAAAATACTATCTTAGTCACATTGTTTATTCAACATTTCAATTTGGTTTCCAAATTCCAATAGCTTACACGACATGTTTATTAACAGCTTTCTTTAACTTAATATAGCACATTTAATCTGACCAGAGGATCCCCTTACTGTACAACCAAAGTACTAAGTCTACTAATCACAGCAACTAAAGTAGTATTAATCATATATCTACCTGCTTTGTCTATATCAGCACTTAGATTCCATTACCTATCCAGTAAAAAGGTAAAATTTTTGAAACAATTCATTCTTTCTGTTTAGAGATGACAATGGATAGGGTATGGGTAAGTTACTATAGTACTCATCCCCATATTTGCGTTTTAAAAAAATACCTGTACTTAACCCCATACCCACGTGGTTATGAACATTAATTTCTACACCCGTACTTTATAGGTACCCGCATACCCATTTTGTACTCATTACCCATGCTTGTTTGGAAAAAAAAATATTTATAAAAAAGAATATATTTATATAACTTCACATAAGTAGCATAATAATACAAAAATTCAATAAGTAATTGTCGTACAAAGTACAAACATAGATAAAAAATAAATATTCAAAGATTACAAGTGTTAAATGCATCTTAATACAATAATTTTCTAAACTAAAATTCTTAGAAACAATAAGTGAAACTAAACACACAAGTTATTTGTCGACAATGACTCTATTTTGTGTGATATTCAATTGATTGGCAACATAAGAGTAACAACGAAAGACCTGCACAATGGGTGACCCTTCATGTAGGATCAGTTGGTGACCTCTTGTGGCGACATTGACAACTAACTTTAATAAATAACGTTTTATAGTTGTTAGGTTTTAATGAAGCAGACATTGAGAATGAGTAAAGTTAAGACAAAAAAGTTCAAATACTAAACGACAACGAAAAGTGAATACATAAAATACTTTTTTTAACTTTTGAATTTGAAATTGTAAGAAAAATAATAGATTTAATTAAAATAATATAATATAATTAAAACATATATATATATATGTATATGTATATATATATATATATATATATATATATATATATACATATACATATATATATATATATTAATATTATTATTTTTAACTCATGTACTATACGAAAGTATTTTGTTAAAAATATAAATTTTTGAAAAATTATTTTAATGAATTAAATATTTATAATGTATATAAATTTTAACAGAAAGAATTTGAATAAAAGATAAATAGTCACAATAAAATTTTATAATAAAAAAATATATGTGTATATCAAAAATTATATTTTTTATCTGAAAAAAAATTAACAATATTTTTTTATATTTTATATCTTTTCAAAAATTTCTTTGAACATAAATAAATAGTAAAAATAATATTATTTAGATTCAATAGATTATAGTTGTACTCATAAATATAAAAAATAAAATTTAAATATTATCAATAAATAATAAGTTTACAGTAATAGTAAGTGATCATAAAATTTATCAACTCACTTTATGATTTAAATATTAATATGATTTTATTAACAAAAATATTTGTATGAAAAATATTGTGTCATATAAATAATATTTTTTTAAAAAAGTCAATCTCATAACAAATGTATAATAATTAAATTGTATTAGTCTAATTAAACGATATAAAATAGTAAATAAAATTCAAGCATATATATATATATATATATATATAAGCGAGTATGGGACAGTGTGGGTACTTAGATATCCATACTCACACCCATCCCCATTAAAATTTGGAAGTGTTTATTCGTAGCCATGTAGCGGATAAATATCCTAACCATTGTGGGTAAATTTTGCGAGTAACCATCGAGTAATTTACCTATTACCATCCCTATTTCTGACAGCCATAATCATGTAAATAGTTGTTGAATTAACTATGCATTTGGATTTTCCTATTGTTCATCTGTTGTAGAGTTCTCTTATGGTATATTTGGAAGTTGGGTTTTGGAGGGGAGGGAAGGGGAGGACAAATATTTTATTTTCAAATTTAAAGAGATATATAATATATATAAAAAAAAAAAAAATTGACATATTAAGTTTATACTACTCTATCATTTTGCGGCTTTTATTTAAAATAATATGAAATTAAAGAATGTTAACACCCTTCCCCAGCAAAATTTAACACCCAAACACATCCTTAAGAGATAGGAACTACTTTGAGTGAGAATTTAACTCTTCTAAAGTGAGAGATTCACTTTAGAGAGTAAAGTAAGTTAGTGGTGATAACTTCTCACTTTACTATCTCTATAAAGTAAATCCCTCACTTCGAAGGAGCCAAATCCAGTGACCAAATGTATTTTTGCAACTGTTTGGTTTTTTCTTTTTGATTGTTCTAGGAGGACTGCTTATCCTACTTTCTTGTATCTGACTTCTATATTGTGTTCAACAACTTAATAAACATGTATATCAATTAATTCCAAGCTCTATAATGCAAGTTATGTAACCAATAATGGGACCACACCACGCCTTTTGAGAAAAATACAACAAGCCCCAAATGAAAATTCAGGAATCAAAACCCAAACAAAGTACTGGACATTAAAGTTCAAAATAGTAGTTTAAACTTCAGCGATTTACATATGTATAGATTAAGAAATGAAAAAAATGTGTATTCAAGCTTGCTTGTTGTCTTTTTCAAATAAAAGGACTATATTAAAAGAGAAAACAGACAACATGAAAGCAGGAAGCGAGGTTAGGACTAGTATAAGAAAGCATACTACCTATATGTTTCAATAATCAACAACAAAAGTCATATTCATCTTGAGTAGAATGCCAGTGTGTTTGCAGCTCAGAATGTTCCTTTGGAATTGTAGGACACAACCTAAGGACCTAGCATACAAGGAACTCAATACAAGAATAAAAAGATACAAGTGATAGGCAAAGAACAAGCAAATGTAGTACTTTGAGCTAACTTGTCTCAGAAATACCTTCATTGACAAAACTTCATTTAACACGAGTTCATCCAACCTTGATCTTTTAAACCTCACCTCAATCGTCCCAAACCCCAAAAGAAATAAAGAATTAAAAATCACATTGCACAGTATTCAAATCCCACAATCATATAAACCGTCACTTAATCAGTCTGTTAGTAAAAGCCAGTATCGTCTAGCCCCTACCTAAGAATTCCACTCTTCAACTTCAACAATATAATCTATGTCAGTAAAAATCTTATTGATTCTCCACAAGGCAGGGTGCATTCTAGTCTTGACGCATTCAAAGTAATGGCATATAAGCAAGCCTAAGAAATGTTAATGCCAAACACTAATAACATTAAGCCATAAATCGTACCCATTGATAAGCACCTTCTTGTGTTCCATCCAGCACTGTGACCGCATCCGACTCAGATTTCAGGCTGCTTCTATCCTTTAGCAAATCCCTTACCTTGAATCACCAAAATTCGAAGCAACAAGAAAGTTAAAATAAAATCAAAATGCACATAGCTGTTAAAACTACTGAAATTGAAAAAGGCATAGAGATAGTCACCGCTTGCAATATCCTATCAGATGCATCCCCTTCCAAAGCCCTCAAACCCGCAGTTGCCTGCAATAGCAAACAAAATCAATTCAATTTTCCTTCAGAGAAACCCAAACGTAAAATTAATACACACACCGATGCAGAAATAAAAAAATTTAAAATAGAAAAAATTTTAAAAATAAAATAAAACGCTCACCCCAACTCGAACGGGTGTCTTGGATCGCAATTCACGAGGAACAACACTCTCCGCTTTATCTAAAAGAGAAACCAGAGATTCCGCTGCCTGTTGCGGATTCTGAGCGTACGCACTCAAACCCGGTTTAATCTGCAAAACACAAACGACCACAATAAATTAAAAAATTAAAAAAATAATAATAACAAGAAAAATAACAATATTCATTTAAGTTGACCTGCACGAAAAGCTCGAGGTCTTTGCCAATGTGAACGAGATCTAGGTTCTGATCGAAATGGAAGACGTGCACGCGGCTGCCGGAGCTGCCGGCGTCAAATATGACGGCAAAGGAACCCCCAGATGTCCTGTCCGGGGACATTTTCCGGCTAACGAGGGCGTAATCACCGACCGACTCGTTGGAGGAGCTCGACGGCATGGCGTAGAGAACGAATGTGATCAGAACAATCGGGATCGCTACAACGAGGAGCGTCCCTCGGAACCTATAGATCTTATCGGAGAGAGACTCCTGGCGGCCAGAGCGCTTCAGCATTTTGCTAGACTCAAACTCCGGCGACTGCTGATCGGCGGCGTGAGACGGCGGAGAGTTGCTGCTATTGCCCTGGCCGTCGAAGAGCTCGGCGGAGGACGGCGATCGGTACCGGATCTGACCGTTGGCGGTGGCGGCGGCGGGCTGAGCCTTCAATTGCTTGGGATCTTGTAGCGGCTCCAGCTCTGTGTCTTGGGATTCTCAACCACCTGAATGAAGAAGACGACGACGACGGATCCAAAAACCGCCGGAAAGTGAAAACAGCGCGACGGTGCCCGTCCTATTGGGAAATGCACGTTGCGTCTTGGCCTCCTGACACTGATGCTTCTCTCTCTATCTCTCCCTCGTGTGTGTAGTGAGAGAAGTGCGCGTGTGTGTGTGTCAGTGTCTGTGTTTTGTGTGCGGGGAAAATGGTTAAATGGTGTATCTGTAAATTGTAAAGGAAGGATTACTGAGTTGGCCTTCTTCACCCACCGAGTCGGACTCGGTCTCGGGGAAGAGAATAACTGAGTCGTTCTGTTTCTGAATCTTTCCGCGTTCTCTCTTTCGTGTGTGTATTAATTTAAGTATCGGAGTGAAATATGTTACGTGTCACATACGGCCTCGAGGATGAAAATGCTTACAAAGAATGTACTTTTTACTTTACTTTACACTACGGCCTACTATTGTGCGTTAGGGTGTAGGAAAATATAAAGCGCATTTAAAATTGCATATGCATCGATAAACAGAAAATTAGAAAGACTTAACGACGTAGAACGCAAAGTGCCACAATAGGTAAATGTGTGATGATAAGTGAATAACACTTATAGATATGGAGTATAATAAATAAAGTTTTTAAGCATTACTTAATTTAGGTTAAAAAAATATCTATTCTAGACCCAGACTCATGTTTGAGTTTGAATTTATATTTGGAGCTCAAAGTTATGTCACCCGCAAAAATTTTACCATAAAGATATTATTGTTTCAAAAATTTCAACTTAAAATTTTGATCCCATACATTTCATATTATAGTATATCTTTTAAATATAATTTAAAGTGATTAAATATTTAAGGTAGACCTTATGTATAAATATCATTATTACATATCTGTATAAGAAAAGAAATTTTTTTTAAGGTACAAAGGTCTTTGTCAAACCTTCCGTAGTAGAAAATAACTATCTTTTCTAAATAAAGATATATCTCGAAGATCAATGGTATAAACATATTTTTTTGACTAAAATAAAAAAATTATAAGTTTCTCATACTTAATAGACAATGAACTTTTGGAGGATCATGAAGAAAACTCTTATCCTTCGCAAAAAAAAAGTCAGATTTCGAGTAGTTTTGAAGGATCGTGAGATGTTAAAAAGAAGATGATTTTTCAAAGATTTTTTGAGGATTTTTAAGCTTTCAAAATGAAAGAAGTCAAAATTAATAGAGAAATTATTTTGAGTTAATGAGACTGAATGAACTCTTAGATTTGTTTTAATTTTATCGTGTTTAGTGTTTAAAGAACTGCCAAGTTGTGTTTAGTATTGAGCATTCTTGCTTCATCTTTTATTTTGTATTTATTATGCATTATTGTAATGGTTTTATATATAACATTATTTGATTGTAATTCTCATTAGGCTTTTATAATTTATGAATGTTCTGAAAACAAACTATGGAAAGAAGACATCTAATTCAAATTTTTGGTTGCAAAAATTTAATGTTAATTCAAGCAAGAGTTGATTGGTAGTTTCCTCTATTATATGAATGATATGTAACGTGATGGATCAGTAGATCTTACAAACAACATAATTTAATTCAAACTGAATTGATCAATTCAATCAATTATTGAACTAACAAATCTACTAGTGCAGTGATTGTCTAATCTCTTTGTTCGTTAGTCTTTTATTTGTTGTTTTATTTTGCATGTATTTTGAATGAGTATTTATTTTGTGTTTATTTTATGTAGCATTACAACATTGTTCTTTAAAGAGGGGGGGGGGGGGGGATCATGATATTTAGGGTCACATGTTTTAGGCAGTCCCCCTAGTGAGTGTGGTGATTAGTAACTACATGATATGCCCGGAGTTTTTTTAATCTAAAATCTTGCTTTGAGGGAAAGTTTTGACGTTACTAACACAATGATTTTGCTAGCATGAGTAAAACTAACACACAACCAACTTCTCTATAAAGTTCAACCACTTTGGTAGGTAAGGTCACCATTTGAGTCTTAGCATAGTGGAGCTTGACCCCTCCTTATTCGTTGTAACCCAAACAGGCGTCTGTTAAAGACAATCCATCGCATATTCATGCAAACACAATGGAACCGACATTAAGATGAATCAAGTCAGTATCCAATTCAGATACTAAACTTCTATATAATTTTTCTAAGTGGATACCGAATATATGGGCCAAACATAACCCAGTAATTTCTCCCTAACTTATAACATTTGATTTTGCGCCGAACAAACATGATTTATCAAAAGATCAGAAACAGAAGAGAGAATGATGAGGAAATTATTATATAATGTAAAAGGGGTTCTTAATATAGTAGCATGGTGCTTAAGAATTGCGATGCATGAAGACCCAAATCTACTATCCCTTATCAGGCTTTCTTCTGTTTGATTTGAGGCGATGGTGGGGGAAAGCACGGAACAGCAAGCAGCCAATATTGCTCCAGTAAAGGGGCAAATCCAATATACATAAAATTTGTCCCATGTGTTGTGCCAATTGTTTAAGTATGCCCAACCAAAGGCCTGCATAGACAATAATCAATCATAGTCATTCATTGGTATCTACAAGTCAGACCCTGACCAAGCTGAAATGAACATCAGAAGGATCAAGAAATAAATGCACATAACAATGTGTATAAACTACAGGAACATCAAATAAGTTACAGTGCAATGGGTAACAGAAAATTCTGATTTTAAGATGACTATTTGGAATCAAACTGTAAATGTTCGTTCACCTAGACTCAGGTAAAACCACCAATTTGTTTCTGAATTATTAGTATTTGTCCCAGAAAAATATATGAAAGATGGCAAGACAAAGTTTTCATGTCATGTAAGGAGCTTCATATGAACCCGCAGCTCAGTTTACAATTCAACACAAACGCTAATAATATACTTTGACATTCTTTTCTTCAACATTCAATGGGTGAAATTTCATGTTGGCACCACTAAATCAAGAAAAGGTGAAGGTTATTAAGTGGGGTCAGCATGAAATTTCACCTAATAATTATTGAAAAAGAAGTGCTACTAGCATATCTCCATTTTCCAAGTATAACTGGCTGAAATTTGGTATGGTTAGGCGCACAATCAATATTCTAGTTTTTAAGAGTAGTTCCATTATGTCAACTCAAAAATTAGGAAAAACATTCCATTTCCATGTTGTCCCCCAAAGACTATAAGCAGTCCAAGTTTCCTGAATATTTGCATAACTTAATGACAATTTTATTTAACATGGATCAGCATCAAGTCCTTTAGTTGAGAAAACGAGGCATGTGGTCCAATTTCAAGAACAGAGAAACTACAACAACCATATTCATATTAAATGATTTAAGCTTATGATGTTTTAAGAAAAATGTTGATGCTGACCAACTGAAACACAGCTAAAAAGGAATGCAATAATTCAGCAAGAAAGATCTAGTAAAGATAATCAAAATGAAGGTGAGAACAAATGAAAAACTATTGATATGACTGTGAACAGGCAGGGACAGAAAAGGAGATTGATACTTAGTACTTCAAACTTAAAAGTGTTATCAACAGCTATAAAGGTACTCACACCTTAGATCTTTTCTTAGCATGAAATGGCTGCCAGAATTCAATCCCATGGTCTCATCCTCTTCCACTTTAAGTGAGTACTACTAGGAGTCAAACTAAAGTGGATGAGAAAGATATATCAGTGCTAAACGATGATGGAGAAAGAATTGCCACAGTAATAAAGGTACTCGCACATTATCCCAAGAACTAAATGAAATATGAAAGGATGACAGCAGAACAATAGATGCAGGGGATAAAGGGCCACACACAAGCTTAAGATATGATTGTTGTGGAAAGGAGAATATTGCACTGGATCAGTGGTTAAACCCGAACTGCTAAGACTGAAAAAAACGTGAATATATTAGATGGAAAGTAGGAGTGCTACTTATTGAGAGAAAATATGGTAGAATTGTGCCTTCACCTAAGATGGTTCAGACGTGTGAAAAGACCAATAGAAGTTCCAATTAGAAGATTTGATCGAAGAAGAAAGCCCAATAATTAGAGGGGAATGAAATTTTTAAAAATGATTTAGATCTAAATTGACTATGTGAAAAATTAGTTTATGATAAAACATAATTATATTGTTTGATCTGTGTAGTCAACCTCACTTAGTAAGAAAAAACCCTATCCTTATCAGCAATTCAAAGGAAGAAGAAAGAATACCCAAATCCACAAAAAGTATATATTAATTCCCATGTTTTAAACTGATAGGCAATATCATTTTGATTGATTAATCAAAGTGATGTTGAGGAAAACAGGCAAAAGCAAATATACCATTAGGTCAGACATAATTTAATAGCTTTCAGTTAAAATGTATTAAAGCAGCTTTATCAAATAGGTCGTAATGGTTTAATACACTTGATTAACATGAATGCGCTATGACACCAATTCCCCCGTTTTTATTTGTCAAAATAGCATAACGTAAATCTAAGCAGTAATCACTAATATTCCTCCATCAAAACAGTTCTTTGGCTAATAATATTCATCCATATTATAAATTTGCATTTGATACAACTTGATACATTATTTAACACAGTTAGATATACTTGGCATATAGAAGAAAATTAAACTAAAAAGCAGAACAAAAAAGAGGAAAAGAAGAGACAAACACCTCAGGGCCTCATCTTGGTCCACTAACTCAGCTGCCCATGCTTCCACCCTTGTTTCCCCTTGGGCAAATCGCACCAATGGAGGAGGTATCCTTCCATAAACTACTTCAAAAGGAGTTTTGCCCGTGGATGCATGAAATGTGGTATTGTACCACAATTCTGCCCAAGGTACCCAATATGACCAATTTTGGGGCTGCTCTGACACAAAACATCTAAGATAAGCTTCTAAACATCTATCACCATTTCCGTTTGACCATTGGTTTCCGGACGATAAGCGAAACTCATCTTCAACATGGTTCCCTGCAAACGGAACAGCTCCTGCCAGAATAGACTCATGAACAATGGATCTCGGTCACGAACAATTGAGTGGGGTATGTCGTGAAGCCTAACCACCTTTTTAGCAAACACTTCAGCTACTTTTCTTGCCATATAAGGGTGTTTGAAGGGTATGAAATGTCCATACTTAGATAACCGATCCACCACCACAAATATAGCTTCAAATCCCTTGGATTTAGGCAACTTGGTAATGAAATCCATGGAAATATCTTCCCAAACTCTATCTGGAATTGACAAGGGCTGTAACAACCTTGCTGGGGACATGGCAGCATACTTATGGCGCTAGCAAATATCACAGTTTTTCACGAAATCCTGCACTCTTGTCTTCATGCCCACCCAATATAGTTTTCCAGCCAGTCTTTTATAAGTTCTCAAAAACCCAGAATGGCCACCAGCAGGAGATGAATGAAATTCCTCCAAGACATGAGGAATAAGAGGTAACTTTGCTGAAATAACCAATCTTCCCTTGTGCATCAATACCCCTTGCTGTAAACTAAATCCATGGTGAGAAGCAGCACCTTGTTGCAAGTCACTCACCACCTTTTGAAGAAAAGGGTCAGCATTGCATTCCTCTTGTATTTGCTGCCCCTGCAACCAAATTGGCATTGTGGCTATCTCCAATAATTTCCCTTCTTCACATACACGAGATAGTGAATCAGCTGCTTTGTTTTGAGGTCCCGACTTGTATATGACTTCAAACTGATATCCCATCAATTTTGTTGAGCAACCGTAGTAATTCGCTGCTGCAGCAAGTGCCCCAAACTCTGTTGGTCAGAATACACCTTGAACTTCCTATCTCCAATAATTCCCCTTCTTCACATACGCGAGGTAGTGAATCAGCTGCTTTGTTTTGGGGTCCCAGCTTGTATATGACTTCAAACTGATATCCCATCAATTTTGCCATCCAATTTCGTTGAGCAACAGTAGTAATTCGCTGCTGCAGCAAGTGCCCCAAACTCTGTTGGTCAGAATACACCTTGAACTTCTTGCCTAGTAAATAAGGCCTCCAATGTTGGACTGCTAACACGAGAGCCATCAATTCCTTCTCACAAGTGGATTTACTCAAGTTATTAGGGGATAAAGCCTTACTAAAATAAGCAATTGGCTGCCAGTTTTGCATCAGCACAGCTCCTATTCCAGCCCCAGACGCATCACACTCTATCTCAAAAGGTTGAGAGAAATTTGGTAAGACCAACAGGGGAGCTTGAGTCATCACCCTTTTCAATTTATTAAATGCATCTAATGCTGCAGAATTCCATTTGAAACCCTCCTTTTTTGTTAACTCAGTCAATGGTTTGGCAATTTTACCATATCCTTTAATAAATTTTCTATAATACCCAGTCAAGCCGAGGAACCCCCCTTACGCCTTTAACATTACGTGGAATTGGCCACTCTACCACACTCTGAATTTTTGCAAAATCAACAGCTACTCCTTGATTCGAAATCAAATGACCAAGATACTCCACTTGCCTACTTCCAAACACTTATTTTGATGCCAGAAAATGCTGTTCTTCCAACAATTGCAAAACAACCTTTAAATGCTCCAAATGCTCAACCCATCCCCTGCTATACACCAAGATATCGTCAAAAAATATCAACACAAATTTTCTCAAATAAGGTTTAAAAATATGGTTCACGGTGGATTGAAAAGTGGCTAGAGCATTGGTTAGCCCAAATGGCATAATCACATATTCGTAGTGCCCATCATGCGTCCTAAAGGTTGTTTTATGGACATCTTCCTCCCTCACACGTATTTGATGGTATCCCAATTTTAAGTCCAATTAAGAGAAGTAGCACCATATAATTCATCTAATAATTCTTCTACTACCGGAATGGGATACTTATCAGGAACTATGACTTTATTCAGCTCTCGGTAGTCCACACACATGCGCCATGGTGCATCTTTCTTCTTTACCAAAGTCACCAGACTGGAGAAAGAACTAGAACTGTGCCTAATAATTCCCTGCTTAAGCATTTCGTCCACTTGCTTCTCAATTTCCTTTTTCTGGCCGCACATTTATTGGCCTAGCCTCACAGTGCAATTCAATGACATGTGAAACATCTCTAGGGGTAGGCAACCCTTGAGTTTCCTTGAACAAAGCAAGGAAGATAGATAAAACTGTCTAAATATCCTGCAATTGTTCTAAAGACAGCCCCAGTTGATGCCTTATTTCTCCCTCTTTCACATCATCCTTTATCAAGCTCTATAACGAAGCCACTACATTCACATGTTTTCTGTCAGAGTCCAGACCTTGTAATTCCACCCTCTGTCCTTTCCAACAAAAACTGAGAATCATATGTTCCCAGTCAAATATAACTTTCCCAAACCTCTGCAGCCAAACGACCCCCAGTATCATATCCAAATTGCCCAACTCACCCAACATAATTTCCACTGGTTTACATTTAACAATTGTGGAAACTCGATGTCCATCCCCTAATCACACTCCCATGGATTTTCCCAGTTCTACCTCCAACGCCAATTTTGTTACCACTTGTGGCGATATGAATTTGTGACTGGCTCCACTGTCAATAAGCACCACTAGCGAAACACCGTTGATTTTCCCTTCTAGGCACAATGTAGAAGGAGCAGTTCCCTTCCTTTGCTTCGTCGCCACTGCCCCAAACACCCTGATAGCGCCGCAGTCTAAAGTGGGCTCATAATCTTCTTCCTTAGCTTCAATGGCTATCACCTCGCCGGCCTCATTAACTGCTTCGTCATCTCCTAAAATCACCAGCCGCAACTGGCGCTCCGAGCACTGGTGTAAGGGGTGATATCTTTCTCCACACCTAAAGCATAAACCCTAAGCCTTGCTATTCATCAACTCTGCATAGGGCAGGTGTTTAATGCCCCTGTTTCAATCTGTAGTTGACAATCAGTTACTGGTGGCGCGACTGCCTTGCGGAGCAGAGTTACGAGACTTCGTCTGCGTCACACTGATCGTCGAGGAGCCTCGCCAACTTGGGCCACTGTTGTGCACACCGCAACTTGGGCCAAGCCCACTTACACTCTTTCCTGCTTGTAAAGTCTGACCCGGCCCAGATCCGCCTTTATGCATAACACCAGAGACCCATTCTCTGTTTCCCTTCCATCCTCGCGAAGCTCCACTACGCGGAACAGCATCTCTGTACAACTCTGCTTCAACATCACGGGCCAACCGCATATCATGAAGACGGCTTAACAAATTGAAAGTGCGAACACGTCTCCAAAATCAGGCTTTAAACCACCCATGAAGTACCCTAAGTATTGTTCCTCAGGTAATCTCTACACCTGTGATGAGATGAATTCAAACTGCTAAGTATTCCTCCACACTTCCCGTTTGCGTTAGGTCCCTCAATTCCTCAAATGGATTTTTCCTCATCTGCCCCCATACCGTCCAATCATCTCTCATTTTAATTTTGTCAAAGTCAATTGATCAACTGACTCTTGAAGGAGGTTGAACCAATGAATAGTTGGCCCCTCCATACTTAATTTCGCCAATCTAACCTTCACTTCCTCATGAGACCCCTGGACCTCAAAGTATGTTTCAGCTCAAGTAATCCAACCGACGGGATCAGTACCATCGAATGCCGGTAATTCTACTCTTCTTCGCCGTCATTCGATATTCTAACAAAGACTGTCTCGGGGAATGCTGACTCACGACTGGAACGCAGCTTAGAAAACTCTTCCAAGATGGATTGACGGAATTCCACCAGAGATTGTCTAACCGAAACTTCCATTGTTGCCATTCTCTCCTCTAACAACTCCACCCGATCGGTCATTTTCGGGGGCATGGACTACTCTGCTAGCTTCTCCCTCGTGAATCCGGCAGGTCAGACCAATAATAGGAACAGATGACAGAGCAGAAAAATATGATTAAACGACAGTACCGTATACTATTGAATGCATATGAATGAGCAAAAATGCTCTACAATTTATTCGTAGCTTTTCCAGAGTCGGTGACTCCTCCAGAGAATCTCTCTCCTCTAACTAACTCAGCATCAACAATAATCCTCTCCCAATACAATCTCTCCCCTTATATTCACCCCCCATAACACGTCATACCCTTCTAACTAACTAATCATTAGTTGAAGGGCCCACTTTCTTCCTCCTTGTGTAAATCTGCCACACCTTGGGCCTCACTAATTCTCCTTCTGCAGGCCCATCGCTCTTTTTTATACTACTGCCCCTACTCAATATCCTATCAATTTTCCTTAATATATTTTCAATTTGTCTAAAACAAAGTTCAACAAGAGTTGACCATATAATAGTCGTGCTGCTAGTGGAGCTATATTTTTCTTGGTATTCCTTTACTTTGCTGATAAGTTACACAACATTTTACTTTATAATGTAAATAACTGGAAAAGAAGACACAAGATGACAATTCAAATCACCCTAATGAGATATGGCAGTATTATGTATTCTTAGTCTGGTGCAATGCAATGCAAGTAACACACATAATTCATACATGAAGAAAACAAAAACTGATGAATGCAAAAAATTAAGCATTCACATTGGCAAGATTCATGGCTGGCCCGGTGTAAGCAGATCCAACCATAACCAAAGTGACGGTCGCGGTTGCCAGCAACCAAGTCTTCAACAAATCACTACCAGGACCCCTAAGAATGATGAAGAGTACAGCAAAGGTAATAAAAAAAGTCAACACCCCCTCAGCAACAGCCCCAGTATGCAAGTCAACTTTCAAAGAAGGCCCTCCAATCATGTGCTTGTACTTGGTAGGAATCACCTCCATAATCGCCATTGCACCACCCACAGCACCAAGCGCCTGTTTCACAACCCAAAAGCCATTCATCAAACACCCTTTGCACAATCCCCATCGACCCACCAAAACTTTTCTCAAGATTCAAAATTTAGGGGTCATGACTCGTTAGATTAAATCAAAAAAAGGAGAAAAGAGACCAAAAGGGAAAATACAATATATATATATTAGGGTCTTAGCATAGTGGAGTGGAGATTGACCCTTTCTTGTAAGTTGTAACTGAAACCCGTGTCTGTTAAGATGAGTGATTGTTATGCACACAGAATTGAGGTTTCAACAAAATGGAACCGACATTAAGATTAATCAAACCAGTATCCAACTTAGATACTAAACTTCTACATAATTTTTCTAAGTGGATACTGAATTTATGGACCAAACATAACCTAGTAATTTATCTCTCACTCTTCACATCTGATTTTGCACCTAAGGGAACATGTTCTTGATGTGGACATAAGGAGTGAAGCCCAGGCCCAAATCCAAGTCCAAGACCAACCGCAGGCCCAAGTAATCCAAGATCCATTACAAGGCTTAGGAGGGCCCATGACAAGAGTTAGATCAAGGAAGGCCCAAGAAGCTCTACAACACATGCTGAGCACCATGCTAGAAGCCCAACCTCAATGTGAGGCCCAACACCCAGATGAAGTCCAACACTTGAATTCTAAAGTGTACACATGCATAGCCCACTTACAATGAAGGAAGAGTCCAAAGTTTCAATCTGAATTTTGAAGACTTTTTATTCATTTTGGAAGACTTATTATTTATTTTGGTACTTTGTGTAAAAAAAACATGTTATTATGCTTTATTGTCTATTATAGGATTTGAACCCTTGCACCTTAGGATGTAATATGCTCGCTTAACCACTAGAACATATACATCATGTTTGTGCTAAAGGGATTAGTTTTTGTTTTTATATGTCGAGTCCATGTGGACAAACTCCAAAACTGAATTGTACTAAAACACTTGGAAATCATTTTGAGGATATACATGATTGAAATCAGATTATAGTGAGAATTATTCTCTGCTAGGGTTCTTCCTTGCAACCTCCGATCTTATCAAGAATTCATCCGTTCTTGTGGCGATCTTGTTGGCTTATCAAACATCCTTGTTTGTGGCACCTTCCCTATCATATTTCCTTCCTTTTATTCTCTTTACAAGGTATGAATTTCAATTTTTTTTTTCCAATTCTGAATTTTAAGGTTCATAGCATTCTCTTCCAAACAAACCCCAAATTAAGCCCAGAATAACTTTTATCCATATCTTGCGTTATACAAATCCAAATTAAGTGATTATTGAGTCAAAATTAAGGTTCACAACGTGAATATTCCTCTCGTTTTTGAATCACCCATTTTCGAGTTTTGTAGCTCAAGATACGTCCTAGTCCTAGTAGGTCCGAAATTCACGAGGGTCAGGGAAATCCTCATCAGTTCTACCAAAAGATCAGAAACAGAAGAGAAAATGATGAAGAAATTATTATATAAAGTAAAAGGGGTTCTTAATATAGTAGCATGGTGCTTAAGAATTAAGATGCATGAAGACCCAAATCTACTATCCCTTTTCATGCTTTATTCTGTTTGACTTGAGGTGGTGGTGGGGGAAAGATAGCACAGAACAGCCCAGCATCCAATATTGCTCCAGTGAAGGGGCAAACCCAATATGCATATAAAGCCAGAGGCCATACTAGATCATATTTCCTGGGATCAAAGACAAGAAAATAAAACCTGCTCCATCATATCCTGAAGCTTAAAAATTCCTAATGGAAGCCCAACTCAAGGAGAATAGTCATATTTTCATGCAATTTCATACATAAGTTAATTCCTTTAGTCTATGTGCGGAAATTTTGCTTCATATGTGTTGTTTTTGCTTCTAGACTACATTCTGTTATAATCTGTCCCTGCAAGCTATTAATTCACATTTCAAATAGATCACAACTTTGGGTTAAGTTTCTTGCTCCACTTATTTGGGATTTATAGTCCAAGGTCATGTGGATATACACAAGTACCTGAATTAGCTCAGTATTTGATCATTCACCAAGTTTAACCAGTAGTAAAGAAGCAATTACATTTAGATTACAATAAATTCTAACCCAAAGTTTCCAATCATATAATAATTAACAAACTTGAGTTGTTTATGAGCTAAACTAACCTTGCAACTCTTGCTTAGGGCAAGACAGTGCATGTCTGAACATACACCGAGAAAAGAGCATGTCATTCACCTGTGCAGAGTATACTATCAAATTTGAAGTATGCTTCATCATCTTTGCAAGTGTCATGAGAGCTCTTTATAGATTTACTGCTCCCAGAAAGAAAAGCCCCGTTCTCTTGTTACTCTTCTGGTCTCAGGTTGGCGAAGAAAAGCTTTTTCCCTATCAAATTTGCTGGGTACGGCCTTGACTTTCTTTCTAAGAGTGTCTTGTTCCAATTGATTGTGTTCTAAATCTGTTGCCTGAGTCTCTGTTACCTGTCTCCCAGAAACCCATGCCTGAAGCATTTTTTCTGTCTTTGGCTCGGGGAGGAAGCCTTTCTCTTGCATATCTGTATAATAGTTGTAAGCTTCCTCCAGTTTTCCATTCAGAAACAGCCCATGAATCAGCACAATGTAAGAACTACGATCATGGCTGATTCCATCTTCCCTCATCACATCCCATAACTTAAATACATCATCAAGCTGACGCCAGCGGCAAAATTTTCTTATCAACATTATATAAGTCTCAGTGATAGGGTAACATCTCAGCTCTCTCATTTTGTCTAAAAGCTCAAATACTTCTTCCTTGGTCCTCAATATACGGAAGAAAGCATGGAAAGTCTGAATTGTTGGGGATAGGGAGCGCTTCAACATCTGATCAAAAATTTCTTTAGCTTCATCAATTTTGCGAGCTTTGCAGAGAGGTTTGATCAGGGAGTTGTAAGTAACAACATCTGGAGTGACATTGTTGTCTTCCATTGTTCCAACGAGATTGACAGCTTCTATCACAAGCCCAACCTTTGCTAGAGCATAAATGACCGCATTATAAACCTTCCTATCTGGAGTGATCCTCCTTTTCTTCATCTCATCAAACAGCCTGAGCACCATATAAAGTTTAGAAGATTTTGAATAGCAAGATATGATACTTGCATATGAGACAACGTCATGTTGGATTCCTCTCTTGCTCATCTCCTGCCAAATTCTTTCTGCATGACGAGTGCTAACAATCATATTACACCATCCATTCAGAATGATGTTAAAGCTTTTGGTGTCAAATGGGAACACATTTTTGTTGCAGAACAGTAAGTGCTCGGCATCTTCCACATTCTTGTACCGGCATAGGGCAGAAAGGAGACTTTGAAATTCTTCCAGCCTAACTTGAAAGTCAAATCGTTTATAAGCATAGAAAGTATTGATAGCCCTTGCAACATCATGTACAGCACAGTATCTCCTGATCATAATCAACAGAGTTTGTGAAGTGACAAGAGATGGACCCATTCTACCTCCTCTCATTTCCTCAATCAAGGTCCAAGCAGTATCAAACTTCCTCATTTTGCCAAGGATAGAGATCATGGAATTGTACTCGCGAGCCGAATGAGCATATCCCAGTTGCTTGCCAGCCCACAAGAAAAAGGTGAAAGCAACATCCCAATCATTGCGAGTCCTTGAAAGGATCTCCACTACAAGTTCTGATGATGGCATAACACTGCAATGCTCAAGCTTTTGCTTGATTTTAGATGCTCCATAACCTGACTCATGCATTATATCCAAAATGGTTTTAACATCTTGGGCAAGACCATAATCCTTTAAATGTAACTGACTACAATGGGTACCATCATCCTCATCCGTATCATCATCACTCATGGCCTCATCCAATCCATGTGCAGGGGCATCAGTTGAAATCCCTAGGCTTCTGATTGAAGAAGCAGAAAAGGGGCTGAAGGAGAAACCAAATCTTGAAGGAGCTAAAAATGTTTCAGCGTTCAAAGGGTTAAGGAAATTGAATACACTACTCTTAAGTGGCAGTTCAACTATATGATGACAGTGATTAACAGCAAATGAATTATAGCTGAAGCGTTGCAACACAACAGAGAAAAGCGGTAGGTTTGGTATGATTCTGACCATGATTGATAAATAAGCAAAGCCCTTTACTCTATGGGAAATTGGACAGAGTCCAAAATAAGATTGTGCAATTTTCTTCGGTTCTAAACCATTGAGCGTAAGGTGTTTGTGAAAATGACCCAAAGAACTGCAAAGCTAGTTGATCACCCAAGTGATGTTCATATCAGAAGCAGTGTACGAAAGTGTTTGATAGACCTGGCCCATGGCCCAGTGTACACATCAAAGCTATTAAGCTAGATGAGCCTTCAATTGCTTGGGATCTTGTAGCGGCTCCAGCTCTGTGTCTTGGGATTCTCAACCACCTGAATGAAGAAGAAGACGACGACGGATCCGAAAACGGCTGGAAAGTGAAAACGTCGCGACGGTGCCCGTCGTATTGGGAAATGCACTTTGCGTCTCGACCTCCCGACACTGATGCTTCTCTCTCTATCTCTCCCTCGCGTGTGTAGTGTGTGTCAGTGTCTGTGTTTTGTGGGCGGGGAAAATGGTTAAATGGTGTATCTGTAAATTGTAAAGGAAGGAAGGTTACTGAGTTGGCCTTCTTCACCCACCGAGTCGGACTCGGTCTCGGGGAAGAGAATAACTGAGTCGTTCTGTTTCTGAATCTTTCCGCGTTCTCTCTTTCGTGTGTGTATTAATTTAAGTATCGGAGTGAAATATGTTACATGTCACATACGGCCTCGAGGATGGAAATGCTTACAAAGAATGTACCTTTTACTTTGCTTTATACTACGGCCTACTATTGTGCGTTAGGGTGTAGGATAATATAAAGCACATTTAACATGTATAGGATCATAACGCAATTTCGGGAAATGCAGCTTTTCAGTGTAAATTAGTTTAAATAAATTTTATTTTACTTACCTTTAGAAAAAAAAAATTATTTAAGCTAAACAAATTTTTTAAAGTAAATTTGATAAAAAAAATTAATTTTTATTTAAGCTAAAAATTTGCTTAAATTAAAATTGTAAAAAATTTTAAAATTTCAACTCCTTTTTCTTTAAATTAAAAAAAAATAAAAAACTTTTATTTCTTATTAATGATTACCTAATTACTAAAAATCTTTACATATATCATCTCATCAAATATTCTAAATATATTATCTAATATATTACTTGTGCTAAGCATTAACAAGATAAAACCATTTAAAATTAAATTTAATTGTTGAAATGATGATAAGAATGATAAGAACCATGATTTTGAGATTTGGTTTAGAAATAATTTACTACATGATTTTGTACAAAGTTTATCAAATTTGCTATAATTTAGATAGGAAAAAGATAAATTTTTGAATTTTTTCTTAATTTTGACTTAAGTTAATTTTTTTGTTTAAGCAAAAATAATTTTTTTCAAATTTATTTAAGCAAATTTACAGTACAAACTGTTATTTTTGCTAAAATTATATAGGATTCAGATATTTTAAATTACGTATGCATCAAAAAATATAAAAAATAAAAAAGACTTATCTACACATAACGCAAAGTGCCATGATGATAAGTGAAAAACACAGAGATGGAGTATAATAACTAAAGTTTTTAAGCATTACCTTAATTTATGTTAAAAAAAATATCTATTCTAAAACCAGACTCATGTTTGAGTTTGAATGTAAATCTGGGCCCATACTTTTCATATAATAGTATATCTTTTGATGACAGAAATGCTTAGCAATATTTTCTTTTTACGTAAAAGTTATAATAATCATCATAATCACAATGACATGATTTTTAATATGTGATTAATTTTTTTAATTTCTTTTTTTATGTTTAACTAACTAGAAGATTAGTCTTTACTTACCTGGTAAGTAAATTCTTCATACAAAATAACATTACTCTTCATATAAATCTTCCTCGCGAATGTATTAAAAATATTGATTAAAAAGTATTACATAGTTTATTAATTGTTTTAAATCAATTAAAAAGGCAAACATAAAATAACTTTATATTTAATAAAATAATTTTTTCAATACAAACTTTATAATATTATTTTTCCAATTAGTAATTATCATTTGTCATCTCTTCTTTCAAGTAATCAAGCAAATAATCTCTTATTCATTGCAACTATAGATAAAGGAGATCTATCAAATACATACAATTCACTCAAAATCTTTAGTCCCTCTTGGTATTATTTGACTTAATATTAAAGGACTTTTAGAAATATATCATCATACACCTAGTTTTCGTTTCTGTTGTGTAGAAATATGACACACTTATATAGACATATAAATAAATTAAAAGATACATTAGGAGTCAATGACTTTTTCTATATTATGTTCAAAATAACTTAGGTATTACTAAATAAGTTAGGACATAAGTTTTTAATAGTTATATTTGCAAAAATAAAAAGAAATATCACATGTGACATTCACAAGTTCTTTTATGTGAATTGTGCTATTTCTGTTCTTTTTTTTTTTTTTCAAACCCTAACAAAGCCACCTTATCTTTAATACAACACCAAGGAGACCCCTCTCCCTCATGTGGTGTTTTTCTTTTCTTGTGATGTTTTCTCTTCCCTTGTAAGGTTCATAATCATATATGATGGATTTTTGTCTCGCCTCATGTGAAATTTTTGTTTATCTTTCTTTTACTTCACCATCCTTCATTTTATCATTTTCTTATCTTATCATTCGTTTACTACATTTAATTTCCTTTTTCCTTACATCCAAACTTATTAGAGCTACATTTAGGCATGTGCTAATCCAGGAGGGGGAAAAAAAGAGGAGCATTTTTTGTTCCTATGGAAGAGTTTGTTCTACAGAAAAGTGGAAGATTGTTTTTAACTTCATTTTGTTTTGTGTTTAAAGGACAGCTAAGTCGTGTTTATATTGAGCATGCATGCTTGATCTTTTATTATGTACTTATTGTGCATTGTTGTTATATTTAACATCATTTGTAAGTGCTGACAGGCTTTCTTTCTTTTTTTTTTATCTATGAATATGAATATTTGATAAAAAAAAAAAAAAAAGAACTATTGGTAGAAGACATCTATTTTGAAATTTTGGTTGCAAAAAATAATGTTAATACAAGCTAGTTGGAGTTGCCTGGTAGTTTCCTCTGTTATGTAGATGAAATATAACGTTGATTGAAAAATATAGAATAAATCTTACAAGCAACATAATTAAAGTCAAACTGAAATCAATTCAATCAATGGATTATTGAACTAACAAGACTACTATTCCAATGATCATAATGGATTGACTTAGCATAATACATACAAATCAATGTTCTCTTGATTCACTGGTTTTTTTATTTTGAATAATGTCATTTATTTATTTTGTGTTTCTTTTATGCAGCACTGCAATTATTGTTCTTCAGGAATTTTTTTCTTCTTTTCATGATATTTAGGGTCACCTGTTTTAGGTAGTCCTCCTAGTGAGTGTGGTGATTTGTAACTTCATGATATGCCCCGAAGGGGGTATAAAATCTTGCTTTGGGGGAAAGCTTTGACGTTACTAACACAATGATTTTGCTAGCATGAGTAAAACTAACACACAACCAACTTCTCTAAAGTTAAACCACTTTGGCAGGTAAGGTCACCATGAGTCTTAGCATAGTGGAGCTTGACCCTTCCTTATTCATCGCAACCCAAACACGTATCTGTTAAAGACAATCCAACGCATATTCATGCAAACAGAATGGAACCGGCATTAAGATGAATCAAATCAGTATACAACAAAGACACTAAACTTCCACATAATTTTTCTAAAGTGGATACCGAATTTATGGGACAAACATGACCCAGTAAAATATCACTAACTTTTCACATCTGATTTTGCCTAACTAACATGTTTTATCGAACGGTCAGAAACAGAAGAGAGAATGATGATGAAATTATTATATAAAATAAAAGCGGTTCTTAACATAGTGGCATGATGCTTAAGAATTGAGATGCATGAATACCGAAATCTACTATCCGTTTTCATGCTTTCTTCTGTTTGACTTGAGGTGGTGGTGGGGGAAAGATAGCACGGAATAGCCAAGCAGCCAATATTGCTCCAGTGAAGGGGCAAATCCAATATACATAAAATTGGTCCCATGTGTTGTGCCAATTGTTTAAGTATGCCCAACCAAAGGCCTGCAAAGACAACCACCATAGTTATTCACTGGTATCTACAAGTCTGACTCTGATCAAGCTGAAATGTACAGCAGAAGGAACAGGAAATATATGCACATAACAATATGTATATAAACTACAGGAACACCAAAGAAATAAACAATAGGAACATCAAAGAAGTTAGAGTGCAATCGCTAACACCAAATTCTGATTTTAAGACGACTATTTGGGGTCAAACTGTGAATGTTCACCTTGACTCTGAGGTCAAGCCACCAATTTTTTTCTCAATTGTTAGTACAACAACAACATCAAACTTTATCCCACCCGGTGAGGTTGACTACTAAATTTTCAGAAATTTGATTAATCAAAAAGTCACTTTCAATAACTTCATCTAAAGTTCTTTTGAGTTTTTCTTGACTCTTGTTTACCAAACTAAAAGTCATGCAATTCATTCTCCTCACATGTGCTTCGAAAAGTCTTCTCTGCACGTGACCAAACCACCTTAGATGGTTTTTAGTCATCTTTTTCACTATAGGTGCTACTTCTCAGTTATTAATATTTGTACCAAAAAAAATATGAAAGATGGCAAGACAAAGTTTCCATGTCATGTAAGGAGATTCATATGAACCGAAGGTAAGTTTATATTTCAAGAGAAATGCTCATAATATACGTTGACATTCTTTTCAACATTTCATTGGGGTGAAATTTCATGTTGGCACCACTAATACAAGAATAGGTGAAGGTTATTTAGTGGGGTCAGCATGAGATTTCACCTAATAATTATTGAAAAAAAAAGTGTTAATAACATTTCTCCATATTCCAAGTATAACTGGCTGAAATTTAGTAAGGTTAGGTGCAAAATCAAGTTTCTAGTTCATCCCATGGTCTCATCCTCTTTGACTTTAAATGAGTACTATTAAGGAGTCAAACTAAAGTGAATGAGAAAGACACCTTAGTGCTAAACTATGATGGAGGAGGAATTGCCACAGCAATAAAGGTACTTGCACATTATCCCAAGAAAAATATAGCAGTCAAGTAAGAAATAAATGAAATATGAAAGGATGACTGAAGAACTATAGACACCTTACGATATTGACATAAGGGGATAAAGGGCCACACAAAAGATTAAGATAAGATTGCTGTGGAAAGGAGAATATTGAATTGGATCACTGGTTAAACCCAAAATGAGAAGATTGAAAAAAAATAAATGAATGTATTAGATGGAAAGTAGGAGTGCTACTTATTCAGAGAAAAAATGGTAGAATTGTCTCCACTTAAGATGGTTCAGACATGTGAGTAGACCAATAGAAGTTCCAATTTGAAGATTTGATCAAGGAGGAAAGCCTAATAATTAGAGGTGAGTGAAATTTTTAAAAATGATTTAGATCTAAATTGCCTATGTGAATAATTAGTTTATGATAAAACATAATTATGCTGTTTAATCTGTCTGTATAGTCAACCTCACTTAGTAAGAAAAAAACTTTTGTCATCCTTATCAGCAATCCAAAGGAAGAAGGAAAAAATGCCCAAATCCACAAAAAGTATATATTCAAACATTCCTTGACAACAAAATCTCATGTATACTACACCTCAATCTTACAATTTCTTTGCCAACTCTACTGTTAACTGAATGTCTGAAATATGTCCAGAATTCCCAAGGACTTATTTTTGTGATTAATTATCTAAGAGACAAGGCAGTTTATAAACCGTACAATTTATCATTGAACTTAGACTTAATCCAGGAATGTTGGAAAATACAAAACCCATGCATGACAGCAAGCACGATAAAGAGTCATATCTAATGAGTATGTAATGTAGGTATGGTCATTATTTTTAGTGATTACTTTGATTTTATTCTAACAACATATTCAATAGTTGAATGAAGTTATTAAAAAAAGCAAAATATTCTCATTGATAAAGGCAAGGGGCAAGAGTTAAATTCTAAAATGCTAAGAACAGGAAATTCTAGGCAGAATTTGTTGAAAATGATTCATGATCTAAGAAGCATGGGTATGACATAGGACACAAACATGATATGACACAATATGATAAAGTTTGAAAATCATAGAACATGACCTGGCTATTATATAACTTATAAAATTCATCTAAAACTAATATACAATAAAAATTTTAAATCACAAGAGAAAATTCATATTAAAAAATAAGTATATACATAAGTCACTAAAGACATATAAAAGTGCTAAAATTCATCCAAATACCACGGCCTTTCAATCAGTATTAGTATAAAAATTTTAAAAATCAACGTGAAAAAATTATAAAAATGCATCTAGAAGTATTTGAAAGTGTTATTCAGTGTCCAGACGGACCAAAAACTCCTGCCTCCCCTTCCTATCTCAAATTCTGTCCCACCCATTAGAAATTGACATCTCATTTAATTTATCCATGTCATACATTTGCTTCTGTTTTTCTTCCGATACTTCACCTTTGCCTTGCAATAGAGTTGCCCACAATGCAAGTCCATTATAGCCATAACCACCACTTCAACGTGAAATATCACACAGACTCACAACCCTGTACTGTCAGAAGTCCAGTATGGCCACTGCTCCTCTTCCCTTGTGCACCTTTGTGCCCTATTCAACCTACTAGTATGATGGTTGCTTGCCCTATTTATGATACTAGTCCACCACTCACTCTTGCCTCAAACAGCATGTGACATTGCCAATCCAAGTCCAACTAGTCCATGCTACTCAATTATCCATCAAAGTTTGATGTATTTGTTAGGACTCAGAAGCCCCCTCATTGGTATGCTTGGATGTGGAGAAATTAGGTGTGATCCTAAAGTGATTGATTAAATGCTCGATAGGAATGCGGCTTCTTGGAGTGAGATGATATATAGATATACTCAAAAGGGTGGGAATGAGGATTTTAATTTGCTTAACTCTGCAAAAGACCATGAGTTGAACATATATAATAGTCATGGCTGCTAGTGGACCTATATTTTCTTGGTATTCTTCACTTTGCTGATAAGTTACACAGAACATTTTAGTTACAGATGAGTTGAAAAAGTGGTATTGAAATTGGAACTGGACATGTGGGATGCAATCTCAACAATGGGTCTGTGCACTTAAGGTGAAATGCCCAGTGCCCACAATCAAGTAGTACCTAAATCATTTCACTATCATTGTATATGCTAGATATATTGAGTTAAGCTACATGCTGCAGCAGAATCAAACTTTTGGGGCTTTGTTGTAGAGTACAATAGGGTTGGATATTGGGCAATGGAGAAGAATTATTGTGCAAACTAAGAAAAGAGACATCCTACACCAAATTAGAGGGAACGTAGGAGATGAGATGTCATTGAAGCCGAACAAAAAGTGGGAAAACTCGAGATCAACATAGAGGGATGGATTGTTAAATTCTGAAACAAAAGTGTGTGTCACCAAGTGGCAAGAACAGGCTGGATGGTGCTAGGAAGAACATGTTGAAATAGAGGCATGAAGGGGAGGATGACGCTGGTCGATGTATCAAATTCTGAAATACAGGACAGAGGCGTGAGGCAAGGACAGAGGCGTGATCATGATCGACAAAAATAGAAGTGGCATGATTGTTTGCCAGTTTGTTTGACCATAACCATAACGTGAATTGATAAGTCAACTAACGGATTGAAAACTGAAACGTGAAATCTGATGTGGTTAACTTAAGTGATGTCAACATTTAATTGGTGGGACAGGATTTGGGACAGATAATTTGAATCCTGTCTTGACATGGATACGCATCGGATAAATTTACAACACAACACGACTACCGTTTAGAAGTATCCATGCTTCTTACTTTACAGTATAAATAACTGAAAAAGAAGACAAGAGAAGCTGATAATTCACACCCTAATGATATGGCAATATTATGTATTCTTAGAGTGGAGCAATGCAATGCAAGTAACGCACATAATTCATACATGAAGGAACCAAAAACCGATGAATGCAAAAAACTAGCACTCACGTTGGCAGGATTCATGGCTGGCCCGGTGTAAGCAGATCCAACCATAACCAAAGTGACGGTCGCGGTGGCCAGCAACCAAGTCTTCAACAAATCACTACGAGGACCCCTAAGAATGATGAAGAGTACAGCAAAGGTAATAAAAAAAGTCAACACCCCCTCAGCAACAGCCCCAGTATGCAAGTCAACTTTCAAAGAAGGCCCTCCAATCATGTGCTTGTACTTGGTAGGAATCACCTCCATAATCGCCATTGCACCACCCGCAGCACCAAGCGCCTGTTTCACAACCCAACAAACATTCATTAAACACCCTTTGCATAATCCCCATCGACCCACCAAAAGTTTTCCCAAAAGATTCAAACTTTAGGGGTCAGGAGATTAAATAAAAAAAGAAAAAACGATACCCAAAAGAGAAAATTCAAAAAATATATATTATTTATTATTATTTAAAAGTAAAAGCAAAAAGGAAAGAGAAAAAGACCCTTTTGGTTTGGGACACGAACCTGGGCAGGGAAGCGCAGTGCCATTGAGAACAGAGTGTCGGAACCGAGACCAACGGCGTAAAAGGAAGCGGTGCCGGTGGGGTTGAAGCTGGCACCACCCAAGGCACTGCCGACGATGGTGAAGAGAAAGACAAGGATGAACACGAGTGTGGTTGTGACGAGAAAAGAAGGGTAAGGAAAACCGCTGTAAGAGAGATGTTGAAGGTCAAGGGCTCTGGTTATGGCCCCTGAAGCTATTCCCAACATGGAGGAGCAAAACACCCACATGAAAGTCAACACTGCGTCTCCAATTGCTGCCTTTATAGCACCCACCATTTTTGCTCTGAAGGAAAAGCACGAGTGGTGGCTCACTCACTCGCCTCTCTCTCTCTCTCTTTCTGATATTGCAGTGACGACAGCAGAGAGAGAAAAAGAGGGGTCTTTGTGTGAGTGAGTTGAGAATTAAGGAAACATTGTTGCTTGGCGTTAATAATAGACAGTGAGTGCTGTGGGAAGAGAATGTGACAATGTGAGTTATTCACCTAATCGGGTAGGTGGCGAACATGGACTAACATGGGGTGTAAGCAGATAAGCTCAACAAACAATACCTGTCATAACAGGTGACACCCGGTTTGTTTTTCTTTGTAAAAAACTACTCATTTCTCCGTGTTTCATGAGTATAATTAAAATTAAATTTATATAACTATTTTAAGATTTAATAAATTTTAAAAGTATTGTAATTATTAATAATGAATATTTTATTTAATTAAAAAAATATAATAAGAGATAGATTTTAAATTAAAAATAAATTATAACAAAATTTAAAATTTATATTAATATTAAATTAAAAACAAATGTTTAATGTATAAATATTATTGAGTATGATAGAAAAGGAAAATTTTTTAAAAGTATTTTTATTTAATAAATATTTTAAAATATTTTTATTTAAAAATTATATATAGATGTTGATACTAAATTTAAATAAAACATTTTATGAATTAAATTTTAGTTTTTTGCTGGAAGAAAATTTAATTAATATCTAAGTGCAAGCAATACTTTTCATAATTTAATCCCATAATAATATAATAAAGTATGTTACTATTTTTTAAAATTTTTACTTATTTTAATAGCAAAAAACTTTTACTTATTTTATATTAATTTTTTTATTCTTAAAAACTTAATATTGAAATATTAATTTTGATCTGTAAATTTTTTTGCTTTTTCTTCATCTTTTAATTCTTAAAATATAAATTTTTTAAAATATATTTGTCAAGTAAATCAGTCGAGTTGAGTTGAGCCTCATAATTTTTTTTAGTGAACATTGATAAATAAATAAATTTTAAATATAAAATTAAAACAACTAACTTAGAATTACCTTTAAAATTATGAAATAAGATTCAATCAAATAATTTTTATAAAATAAAATATTCAATCACAACAATTAAATTACAATAAGTTGTTGGAACTTTACCGTATGTGAATTTATTTAAACAAGTCACAGTTATAAACTAATGGGAATTAATTTTAATTTTTTGATCTTCAGGATATTTTATAATTTTTAATTTTAAATAAAAATTTAATAAAATTTTCATTTTGCACCAAATTAAACTACAGGTTAAAAGCAATTCTCATCAATTCGTAATTTTATCTTTGTAAACATACTGGAATGTGATACTTATATGTTAACTAACTTATGCATTATTTATAAATTTTTCAAAACTAAAAAATTGACGTGACTTAAGAGAAAATTTTAGCTATTAAAATATTATTTTATTCTTTGTTTATCTGATGTTACTATTATATTTTAAAGGAGTATTAGCAACTTATTTTTTAACATATTTTTTATTATTAACTAAAATTTATTAAAACGTGAGTTATTTTTTTAAATATTTTAAACCTTTTATTTTATTTATAAATTATTATTATATGTTGATGAGAAATATTTATAATATGTTTAACATATTATTTTAACCACATTCTTTATTATTAATAAAATTTTATTAATTTTTTAAAATTTATATAAATTTATATTGTTGAAATTTTTAATAAATTTTAACTAAAAAACAAGATTATATTAAAAAATTATTTTAATATTTTCCCCTTCATATATTAGATCAAAATCATTTAACTACCTAAAATCAAAATAGTCGTTAGCACCAGTGGTACATGTTTGAATTTCTTTGATTCAGCGGCGCAGCCAACCTAGTTTAAATCAGTTTAATTTTTTGAAAAAAAGAAAAAAAAGAATCAGTTTATTTTAATTTGAAAAATAATTAACAAAACCTTATCCAAATAAGAATTTATACAGTGTTTAGTGTGTGGATAAATCATTGGTAGTATTTGTTTCCAAACATATAAAATAAGCATTATAAAAGATATATATATATATATATATATATATATATATATACTTATCAATTTAATTTAACACTGTAAATGTCTAATTTTAAATTGTCACATTAGTAATAATTATTAATTTTTGTAATAATATAAAAATTATTTTAATGATATATTCTAATTAGTTGATTGTAGAATTTTTTAAGTTTGTATGATATTTTTTTATCAAAATTAAAATTTTATTTCAATAAAAAATATTATTTAAAGTTATATTGTAGTTAATGAAGGTAAAACTCTTCTAAAGTAAATTTGTTTGTAAAATAAAAAATAAAAAATTATTTATTATTAATTTAATTTAAATTCTACGATAATATTAACACAAAATAATTTAATAACGAAAGTTCATTGTTTTCTTATTTTATGTATAAACTTATTTTTGAGGAGCTTTTCTTTTTTAGGCATAGAAATGAAAAAGCGCAGCATTCAATTTTATTTTATTTTAAGGGTAATTTTAAAAAAATAGAATATATTTATCCAGTAACCTAATGAATAAGTTGCGGGTGATTCATCACTACCATCAATATAATTTCTGAGTGAGTCAATGGCTCAAAACGCACCCTTAACATTATTGAAGCATTAAATCCCTTTCCAATCCCAGTCAGCTAAAATATTTTGAAAGATCTGGCCGGAGCGATGAGCACACCCCTGCTAGTCTGCAGCACGTGGATGTCATGTTTCAACTTTCTATCCATACGCTTAAGGTTGACTTCTTTTTTTCTGCTTTAGTAAATAAACAAATTAAATTGTTAAAAATTCCATATAAGTAATTTATAAATTCATGAATTAATTATAAAAAAATCCTTTTTTGTATTGATGTCAATAAACTGTGAATTTGAAAGCTTTTGAAAATTATATAATTTTCCACTAATTAATAATGTAAATTAAGTTCAAAAGTTATGGTAAATATTTATTATAATTAATTTTTTGCATTACATATCATTAAATAATAATATTGAACTTTTCATTTAAAAGGGACCAACCATTTTGATTCAGTAAAAGCTATTAAATTTTATAGGAGGCAGATCGATCCTCCTTTGAAAAACTAATAATAATTAATCTTAAGTGTATAAATATGTACAAAAAAGCACATGGGACACTATTGATCACGCTTACGGTGGAGCAGAGTCGAAAAACAATATTGGTCACGTGTTAGCTATGTTCACATAAGTGAAAAACAGGAAAGGATTTCAGAAGATTAATTATTTAAAAAAATCAATTGATTGAAAGAATTTTCAAACTAACATACAGTAATCTCACCATTTGTTTATGGGACAAAATTCTTGCACGATCAATAACTAAAATCACAAAAAACAAATTAAAATAATTTCAGTAAAGGATTTGTTATACTTCATTTTAATATATTTTAAATTGTTTATTGCTTATACTAAAGTGAGAAGAGTGTATTTATATTTCATAAGAAAGAGAATTTCACTCTCAAATAATTGGTTTGGTCTGTTTGGAATGTATATCTAGAATTGAGATTCTAAGTCCTGTTATATTGGAATTGGAAATAAATTAAAATAACAATTCATATGGTTAGGTTGTATGAAATTATAATTTTATTTAAAATTTAATTGTATCTTAGTACTTTAAATTAAGGACAGTCATGTATGAAGTGGTTACATTGGTTTTGAGTAAAAGATTAATTTTTAGGCAATGATATAGTGCTAATAATAGTAATGATAATAATAAATATCATACTTGAAAGATGAGACGAGGGATATGAATTATTCTAATAATTTCTGCTCTTGTGGAGAGAGAGCAAAACTAATAAATATGATGAATGGTAAGATGTGATGAGTGATATGCTAGACATTGAAAGAAGAACAACTTGACATATTTTTGGCAGGATCATTGGATGAGTGTGATAAGCTAAAGTTATTGCTGAGTAGATATCTCTATCTTTGAAAATAAAATCAATTATATTGTTGATTGTGGGGAATGAAGTAATACTAAATAAATGTGGAAATTTAGTTGGGGAAGTCCATTTTTCTCTTTAAAAAGAAGAAATGCTTTATATTTTTTTTTCTTTTTTTTTTTAAATCACATTAACATTGTTATCTCATGTCTAAGTGAAACTAATAGTTCAAAATGGCAATACACAAGCAAGACGAAATTTCTGTCAAATGTGTATATCACTTTTTCAATCAATGATATTATAATTTTTAACTTATACATTGGTGTGTCCTTTCTTATGTGCTTTTGGTTTGTTGAACCAATGATATTAAAATTTCTAACTTACACATTGCTTGAAAGATGTTGATGGATAGGATATCTACTAGATTAAAGTTTACAAAAAGAAACATCATTTATGTTTTTACATCGTTAACGTGCCCATTATGCAACATGCAAGGGGAGTCTTCTTCTCATTTATTTTTTAGGTGTTACATATCTATCTATAAGTGTGGTCTATTATTTATGTTTGGTTAGTTTTTGTAGTTTATCTGCCTTAGATAGAAAATCTCAATTTTGCAAGCATGATAATTGTTGACCGATAGAAAGACTCGTAAGGTGTGGATGATCACTTGATAATTTGTGGTGTGGTCTTTATAGAAACTTAGAACATGGTTGTTCCTAATAATGAACAGGTTGATGTTATCGAAATTTTGGATCTCTTGGTCCTAGATTATGGTAAAGTTGGGAGAGTTTTTCATTTATTTGAATATTGTGTTAATCTGGTGCAATACTTGATGTGCTATTAGTTTATAAATATTTTCACCTTGAGGGTTGTAATATCCTTCGTATTCCCTCATATAATGATGGCAAACATACCCGAACATATGCAGGCCTACTCGACTTGAGTTTAGTGGAGAAAACTTATCTTGAATGAGTTTGGGATCAGGTCTTATCGCTTAAAAAAGTTGGGGTTGGGGTCGAGTTCAAGGATCTAGTATTTGCCCTGCCCCTGTCCTCACCCTTAAACTTTCCCTTTTTCTTCTGTGCGTGTTTGACGTATATATTATTGAAATACATTTAAAAATAAAATAAAGAGTAAATTGATATTTAAGTTTAAAACTGAATTTAATTATAGCTTTAGCTCAAAATCAATTTCAAA